TGTGTATGTATGTGTGTATGTGTATACGTATATACACACACACACACACACACACACACACACACACACAACCCCAGTTCCCAAAACGTTAGGACACTGTGTAAGATCTTAATAAAAAGAGAATGTAATGATTTACAAATCTCACCAACCCATATTTTATTCACAATAGAAAATAGAAAACATATCAAATGTTTAAACTGAGAAAATGTACCATTTAATTTTGAAATTGATGGCAGCAACACTACTCCAAAAAGTTGGGACAGGGCAACAAAAAGCTGGCAAACAAAGTGGTACTTAAGCTAGCCATACACCTTACAACCATCGCAAGACTTTTGTCTTGCGATGGTTGTAAGGTAATTAGAAAAAAACGTACGATTTGCTTGCGCACACCGGCCCGTGCGGCATTTGTCTCCCGAGAACGCCACTAACCCGCCGACAATCGTACGATTCTCAACGGGTTTTCAAGCCTACTCGGGAGACAAAAGACGTGCGACCGTACAGTAGAAGCGGTCGCATGCCTTCCATACACCTGCAAATTATCATACGATATCGGGATTTCCCGCGATTATTGTACAATAATCAGCAGGTGTATGGGCACCTTAACAAGGAAGAGCCAGAAGAACATTTTGCAGCTAGTTAGGTTAATTGGCAACAGGTCAGTAACATGATTGGGTATAAAAAGAGCATCTTAGGGACTCAGAGTCTCTCAGAAGTATAGATGGGCAGAGGTTCACCAATCTATGAAAAGCTGCATCTAAAAATAGTTTTTATCTGGTTTTATGTAGATTTTATAAAGCTTCCCAAACTTTTTGGGAATTGGGGTTGTATGTATAAGGTGCTGGTTGCTGGCCCGCTTTCCATGGTGCTGGTGGCAGGCATGTCTGCACCATAGAAATGCATGACACTGTGTAAAAAATTTACAGCATCCTTGAGAAAGCCAGGTGGCACCACTGGGTTGGGCTAACGTGCTTCTGTACATCTAGTGTGAAAATCAAGAACATGACATCAGAAGCACACATTGTAAACAGTTATCATATAAAGAGTCTTGAATTATCTATTCCATTAGATAGTTTGGGAAACTCACAAGGGAGGATTTAAAAAATCAGTCAAATCAACCTAGCACATGCAATATGATGTAACATCTTTGGCAAGTGAACATGGTTAATAGTCTGTAATTAAGCCTGCACCCAGGGGGTAGAAAATAGATGCACTGAGTGACTAGGCTGATAGAGAATCATATAGCAGTTTGCAACAGATGTACAGCAGTTTAAATCACAAGAGCAATTCAAGAAGCATGTTTACATGATTGTAAATTTTATACAGCATGGCAGCAATAGTGAGTCACAAGCACGTGGTCCAATCACATCCATCAAGGTATTTACCTCTGACTCTATCAAGTTACAATATAAAGTAACTTATTTCAGAAAACACAGCTAAAAAATCAGCTTCACAGTTGTATACCAAACTGCATGCATGGGTAATATTATATTGCTTGTTTTTCAACAACACAGTTTGAAAATAGCAAAACTAACTTTCTATATACTGTATATTTACGTGTTCAGGGTGTTAATGTTAAAATAGAACTATGGTCAAACTATAAAATCACATATGTGATACCAGATTCTATGCTCTGTGTTTTCCTAAGAACGTCCTGTCACATTTTGTAAATGCCTCTTGATCTAGCCAGAATAACCATTGGATATGAATTTCCTTTAATATGACGACAACACTCTGCCTTTTGCTTTGAAATCATTGCAGCAATGTTACCCTTGCTGCTGCTGTAGCTGCTCAAATGCTGCCACAGTTGATTAGCCCTATCAGTGAATAGGCATGCCTAGTTCTGCCTACAGCCATATAGATTAACAGTACATTGCACTGCAGGAAGTTAGAGAAATTATTTAAAAGCCATGCTCAGTCCCTTCCACCCTGTCTGTAGCACTGTCTAGTAGGGTGCAGGAAAAAATTCACCTTCCCAGCTGTATTTATCATTTAAAAAAAAAGGTATGTTGCATTCCTTACATACTACAACTTGACAATTTGCAAAGAAAACACCTTTTAGATGGACTGCCTGGTGCCTGTGCAGCTCATGGCTGCGTTGAATGCCAGCTGAAATTATATTGCATATGTTCTCCCCAATGTGGTTCTGCATAAAAATTCTGGGCAGTGCACTGCCCCACCTATAATAAGGGTACGTACCACCAGTGGTACATATGCCACACTTTTTGAAGCACTAGGTTACACTATGTTTTTGGCTTTATGCTATGGAAGCACATACTACTCAACAACATGTTAGGAAAATGTTCACTAATTTTATGGGTCAGAAGTTTAGGTTGCCAAGATCTTGGTGCTAGAAGGGGGAAAGTAAGGTTTTTGTTTTTTTCTGTTTTATAGGTCAAAGTGACAATAAACTCAGGCGTTAAATCTTAAAAAATGCATGCAAGTACCTTAACTATTAACAAAAATGTATCTTATTTGTGTATCACTCAGCTGTAGTTCCTCAAATCATCTCTGAATTAGTACTGACACTGTCCTTCCTTCTGTAGGGTGGCTACTTTTGTTCCCCACGGTCCCTGTGTGTTGTAAAGTAGCCACTGCTCCAAGCTCACTCCTGTGATGAACTGTAATCTCACATTTAGTTTACTAATTTGTATTGAAGTTATATTTAATCACGGGAGTGAGCTTGGAGCGGTGGCTACTTTACAACACACACAGAGCTTTATGTACAGTATAAAGATATATACATCAGATAGAGACAGCTTTACATCTGTTGCCTTGGTTCTGTGTGGACCTTCTGTCAAGATGGAATGTATTTAATCAGCTGTCAGTCTTCCCTTCAGCCTAAAGCATGACAACCTATTACAAAGTGTTTAGCAGCAGCAGCCTGGAACTACCAGATACAGGTTTATTTCCATGTCATTCTGAGAGAAACATTTCATTTATGCAGAATCGGTTTTCACACAAATGGCTTCAGCAAACAGGTAAGAGTCCCATAAGACATCACATGCCTTTAATATTCTGCTCTCATTTCTCTCTTTACCTTTATCAATATTTTAAACATTTTAAAATGTGTGTATCTGTAGCCTTTCACCGCTGTCTAAAAAGCTAAACCCATGAACAAAAATGTAAAATGCTGCAGCTTACCAATCATTAAATGTGGTAGCTGCATACATTTTATTTATTTTAGGCTTTTTCCCTTTATTTTTACCTGATAATAGAGCCAGTAACACACTTCCTGTCTTAGGATGGCTCCACTCTATGGAGGAACAATGAAGCCACCCTTGCACAGCAGTATTGTCACCCTGTGTGGAGAGGATAGTTTTAGATGTACTAGTAGATGTATAACTTTCTTTTTATTGAAACATTTCACAAAATACAGAAAAGGAAAAGAAACAAGCAAATGAGAAAGATATGTAGTACTCCAGGGTTACACCAAGAACACAAAATATCAGTCCATACAGTATTTAAGCCAGAGAGCAAATAGACATTAGCAACATACATGTACCCTGGACTAAGAGTCAATGGGCAAACCTGTACTAAGTACAGCCAAAGTTAGGTTATAAGAATTAACCAAGATAATTTCATACAATATATAAAGAGAAGGGGATAAGAGGGGAAAGAAGAGCATGGAGAGGGAGAAAAAAAAAAGAGAGAGGTGAGAAAGGATAGAAAAAAGAATAGGTCCACACCCCACTGCTGGAGCCCAACACCCAATCTCGTTGGAAGAGGACGCAAGACTACAGGGTGGAGATAAGGGTATCCATGAGCTTCCAAAAGAACCACACCTTGTCAAACACTGTCAATGTATTATTTAGATGGGCTGTGAGGTATTCCAAGTCGTATATATCATTAATACGTTTAAACAAATTCATGGTTGAGGGCGGTACAGGTCGCCACCATGGTTGAGGGCGGCTCAGAACCCACCTCTGTAATCCTTTACAACTTTTGTATAGTTATCTTTCAAGTTACTCCTCTCTCTCTTTACCTCGCAGCAATCCCCCAAAGTCATATAGCTACCTGTCCACCCTTCTGCCAGGCCTATGCTGTGCAGCTCACGTAGAACCACACAGCCACTGCTGCAAACTCTCTGGTGTCACAATAATAGACAGCTCCTCCACATGAATGAAAGGGATCCATTCATATGCAAAAGAGAGGAAGGACTGACCGGAAGAGTTTCCAGTGGCATCTGTGCAAATCCCCGTGGGCGGCATAATGTGGCCATGGAAAGAGAACGGACAGGTTAGTATAAGACTTTGGGGGAATGCTGGGGAAGGGGGTGTTTATGACCTAAAGGATAACTAAACTAAGTAAAGTTTAGTTATCCTGTGATAATGCAGACTAAAGCAACAGGTTTGATTTATTGGCTCTAACCAGAGTAACTTGGGTGAAATGGGAAACAAAAACTATTATATAACTTACACATGTTGCGTTACTGTACATGGAATCATTATGATGATATTATCTGGTATATGATTCTTTCAGTAGAGAAAATTTGTGACGTAAAATGATGTAAAAATATGATCACCCTGAGTTGAATATTGTACACATTTTGTTTATTTCTAGTAGATACCAGTGAGTTTGAAACCCACAAGATCTTATGTTTTTGAAGACTCCAGGAACAAAATCTGGCAAAGTGAAAGATCCTAATATTTCCTTTAGTAAATGACCCCATCGCTTCTACTCCAGCTTACTGAAACAAACCAGTCAGACCAATGTATACAAGCACAAAAAGGGGTTGGTGAGTTAATTTATCATCTTTTCCACCCAGCATATAGCTGAGCAGATGCTGTCCACATGACACTAATGCCACTAGATGGTACTGAGGAGCTTAGGAATTTTCTGTGCTCCTAAGAACTATGTACAGGTGGTAGTGGCGTGCAAACGGCATCCACCCAGGTATACGATGGGCCAAAGGGTTATAAATCAACCCCTGTCCACATCTGCAATGTACAATATATTAAATCCTAGCAACAGGCCAAGCATTGACTAGCTCATAGACTCACCGGTGAATTATATTTTTGCTCTGCAAATAGTCAAGTGCCAAGGCCAATTCACAGATGAAGAGCTTTACAGAAGCCTCAGTGAAGCGCACATTTTGCTGCAGATGGTATCTAAGGTCACCACCAAGGAGAAGATCTACAACCATGAACATGTCCTCCTCATCTTGAAAGGAATACCTGTGGTAAACATAATAGATATAAAAATTAGATCTAGAGAAGGGAAGATAGCTCAAATGTTGCATTAGTGCTTATATCATTAAAAGATATTTTGGTGAGTATTGTAATGCAGTAATTTATTTCTATGTGAATATTCTAAATAAACACACAAGTAATACCAATTTTCACTTAATGCTGTAATGCCCACTCTTTCCCTTTTTTCCTAAAAATTTTGTTTTATGTAAACTTAGGAGTGCGGTATACACTGTCTGCATGTAAGTGCGGCCGAGTAGGATTATACAACCCCATTATACATGCACAGAAGCTGCATCATCATTGGACGCCTAATGGTTGAAGCAAGAAGACCGTGGCAGTCAGTGTGTGACAAGAAGAAGTTTCCGTGAAGATGTTGGTGGCTGTAAAGCAGGGAGGGAGAGAAAAGAGCTGTTGTTGCTGGAGTAGGGAAAACTCAGAGGTAACTTTGCCATAATGAGCAAGTATGCAATGCACATTTTGGCAAGTGTTCCCTCTGGATCTCATGCTCTCAGTTCCTCTTTAACACACTAAGGGGTCTATTTATAAATGTTTCACACAAGATTCCATACAATTTGCACATATTTTTCTCTGAACAATTCACAGAATACAAAGCATCCTGTAAATGGACAAGGAGAGAGGAAGGGCATATGACCATATGATCCATTTTTAAACAATTTGCCCAGTGAATCCTTGCATATGTTTGTTCTGTGCGAATAGAGGCAAAAATTTACATCCTTAGTATATTTTCTTTTCAGGTCTAATGTGATGTTTGGAAAGCATTATGGCCACTAGTTGCAGCTGTGAAGCATAGTAAATGTAGTTATGTCCAAAAGAGAGTATGTCACCTTTAAAGACTGTGCACAGCAAGTGTAGTACAAACACAAAGTTGAATGTTTTTAAGTTTTAATAGTAAAAAAAGTAAGGTAAAGTTCCATAAAGGCAATGTTTGTTCTACAGTGGTTTCCACACTTCTGAAATAGCCATAGGAAAGTTTTCACATGGAAATTCTCTATGGGAAATAGTTTTGCAGCTCATTATTTTTTCTACACATTAAAGCTCCAAGGACTATTCCGAATGGAAAATAATATCAAATAAATACGATATGGTTTTCAGCAGTATATTACTTTGTTATCTATTATACCATGAGCAATAATTAAAATGACCTGAAAGCTACATCCTATTTAGATATTTGCAGTGGCGTCGCTACAGGGGGGCAAGGGGGGGCCCCCCTAGGTTATTGCTTGCCCCCCCGTGTGCCCCCCCCGCTGGTGGATCCCAGTGACAATATGGGAACTGTGCACCCGCTGCTGTTGCGATGCGGCCTGGCTTCCATGATTGGCCAGCAAGCCGGCTGCATGCATTCTCGTCACATAGTGACGAGAAGCATGGGATGACTTCCTTGATAATCGGGAAGCCGGGTGGTGAGTCTTTACACGCTGCCCGGCTTCCCGGCTAATCAGGAAGCCAGGTGGCGAGTCATTACACGCCGCCTGGCTTTCTGAATGGGACTTTCGGTACTCGGTATTTGGTATCGGTGAGTACTGGGAAAAAATATCGGTACTCGGTACCAAAATACCAGTATCGGCGAATCCCTAGATGTAATACACATCCCTTCCTGCATTCGTGGACAGGAGAGAGGGGTACTGACCTCACTTAGATCTCCCGTTAGAGCGTTGCCGTGCTAGTCCTAGCTGTGCAAGAACTGGGGGAGGAGCACTGGACACAGGTGGCACAGTGGGAGAAGAGAGAGGTGGCACATTGGGAGAAGAAAGAGGTGGCACAGTGCGGAAGAGCCAGGAGGGGGTCAGTGGACACAGGCGGTAGGGGGAAGAAGAGAGGTGGGGCAGGTAGAGGGCTGCCAGCAGCGGGAGAGGTCAGTTAGTCTCTGTACCTTTCACAGGAGGGAAAGAGGGAGACATTAAACCACACACTTCTGGCCCTGAGTCTAACCCATCTGTCTACATACACATACCTTTTTATTGTAAGATAAAAAAAGTATATATATATATACTTATTTTGTTTTTTCAGTGGTATGATTTGGTGGTGAAATTTTTCTAGTGCCCCCCCAGTTTTGACTGTGGTATCTTATGTGCCCCCCCTATATATTGTTCCTAGAGTCGCCACTGGATATTTGCTTTACCTATTTCCAAAGCACTACACATGTAGTGGGTAGTGGTATGGTTAGGGGATTCTGCTTTAGACAGACAACAGAAACTGCACGGTGTAATGAAAACTGAGGCTAAGAAAACTTTCACAACTTTAGAGTTTTCACAAGTTAGCCACCATATGGTGTGATATGTCTTTTATCCTTGACTCAACCAAAGACACGGTACACAAGTTTTAATTTCATGCAAGTTATCACCCCCCCCCCCCCCCCCGACCTCTCTGAAAAGCTGCATAAAAATATTTTTGGGGGCAAAATACTGTAGTATGCTTAACCATTTCCAGGGGCGATGTCATCCTGCTTCTGGCCATATCTTGGAGAATGTTGAGTAGCTCTCAGAAGAAGACGATCCTGCACTGTGCTGCGGTGTCTTCACATATAATTTGCGCTACTCAACATTGCCAAGGACCTTGTTGGTAGAAGCATGACTTGAACCCCTGCAATATGGAGGTCAGGAAAAGGTAGGTATATTATCTATTTTTCCACCCAGGGGTACTTTTATGCAGCGTTTTAGGAAGGGGAGGGGGACACCTTGAATAGGTGGGCCTTAACACTGGGCTGGAAGGTCTGCTTTAAAGCAAAATTCCAGGTGAAACTGTTTTTAACCCTTGCAGTGTGGGGGTAGCCCTGCACTGCAAGGGTTAAAGGAGAACTAGGAGGTGAGTGATTTTCACTCATCCTCATAGTTCTAGCCGACCTGTGACAATGAAACTGTCACAGGTCGGCTCAGTAGATCGGGAAGTGAGCAAACACATGCCGGCGCTCGCTCACTTCTCGATCCTGTCACTGCAGAGAGCCGTGGCAGGGGAGGGACTGGATTTCCCCCTCCCCTGTCCAATCCTCCAGCACCAACTGGCGGAACGGAGGGGGCGGGTACAGCTGGCTCTGCCTCTAGGTAGGCAGAGCCAGCTGTCACTCACGCAGCTGGGTGGATCCAGACATAATTGTCGGGATCCGTTTCAACTGCGACGTCTCAGTATACCGCAAGCTGCAGCTTGCGGTATACTGAGCTTAGGGTGACGGGAGGACGCTAGTTTGTGTCCTCCCGTTACCCTTAGGAGAACTATGGGAAAAAGCCCTAACCCCATAGTTCTCCTTTAAGAATAGTTTTGCCTGTTTTTAAGTGCTCGTTTTTGTCTAGGTGCTAAAATAAAAAAAGTTATACTCATCTGATCCTTGGAGCCGTCTTGCTCTAAGATCGGTTCCTGGAGCCTCTCTCCCTCTCCACTGCAGCAGTCTAAGGTCCCTTGAGCCATCACATCATATACACTGTGTATTGGATGTGAGGACACCAAAGGACATACTATCGCTGCAGAGCAGAGAAAGCGATGTGAAAGTTGTCCGGCCCCGCGGGAGTAACAGAAGGTATTGCTTACAAATGCACATGGTCTCATGCAGCTTCTACATTTCTTGGTTAACAGTTCTTGGTTTATTCTTAATTGCAGCACGTACAAAAACCACTCTATCAGTTTAAAATGTTATAGATTTTCCCCAAATATATCCTGAGAAGAGCTACAATCCTCAAGAGGCACACATATGTTATTTACAAATATACAACTTGTTGCCCACAGAATATACTCATATTTGCAGACACCATTGTTAAATTTGAGACAAACACTTTGTTTCTTTTAGCAAACAATCTCACAAAACAATTCTCTGCCATACAGATGGAAAGGCCTTGGCTCTGGGAAAAAATCTGTTCCCACTGAATGACATGTGTGATGTGTTCTTATAGTCAGCAACTATGGCTTGTGTCCTTAGATTGCTAAAATGTTGGTGCTGACCCAACCAACTTAGCAGTCACATGTTTTTGATTGGGGGGAGGGGGTTGCTTTCATTGTAAATATGATCTATAGCTACTTTACAGAGGTTCACACTTTGGAACAATTCAATATGCTAGTCTTTAACAGGGCGGCACCAAGACCCCTATGAAGACTATCGTTCATAATGTGCCTACTTCTCTAACATAGATATTGGTTCATCTCAGAGGGAATGATTTCTTTGCATTACCAGTATCTACACTTTGCTAATAAATATTCACCTTATTTCAACAACACAATCATGTTATCCAGCATATCTAACATAAAGTAGGTAGGCTCCTTTTCACCTGCCTGGCAAGTTATTGAGGCTTGCACATCTTAATCTGGTTTCTCCAGGTACCAGAGTTAAGAAGGCACTGATGTCCTTTAAGAAATACCCTGCAATAGGAAGACAGACCCAAGCCAGACCATAACACTGAATGATGGGGATGTAAATATTTATCTTTCCCTCCATTTCCCTCCATTCATTGCAGCATTTAATTTTCATACACCACTGCCAGTTCTTCCATCTTCTTATTAAAAATCAAGAGGCACAAGGAAGCTGACACTCCCGCAGAGGATTTCATGGTGGCATGGAGCCAGTGGCCTATCTGAGTGCTGCAAGTATCTCTCACTTATTCATACAACAATACCCAGGCACCTCTAGATTGTTAGTCTTATCATATCACAGCATATTATTACTGCAAGAGCAGCTTTTGCCATGTGTATAATAAGAATGCCCCATGGGATTCAAGCACATTATCACTTTCTGTATAATTTCAATATATTTTATGAATTGAATCTACATAAATTCGGATGCAGACTTATCTTGAAGAACAAGATATGGTTTTACTGTGACAGAAGCAATGAAGAGCCAGTTTAACCACCAAAGGGTGCATTATGTACCAGAGAAACTTGAGAAAGCACGGGCAATTAGACCACAACTGGGATTGTTCTTCTTAATGAAGGCAGCTGCCATTATAAATGTCTCTAAAAAGGGAACATTTCAGAGGAGCGGTGAA